CCCATCACCACCACCAAATTCAACATCCGTGGTTCGTTCATGATATGAGCAGGTTCCCACGTGTGCAGTGCTTCACAGTTTACAAAGCCATTTCACACCATGTCCCACTGGAGCTGCATAACAATGTTGAGGAGGGAGAACACACGATTATTATTGGTCCCATGTGAAATCTGAGGCTCAGAAAGGTCAGGTGACTTGCTCAGGGTCCCATAGCCAGGAAATGTCAAAGGGTGGATCTGAATCTTGATTTATAGATCGCCAAGTCCTATCTCCTTTGCCCTGAACTTGCCACCACCAGTCCTTTATAATCACCAGAATGCCCTGGAAAGTCTTTGAACAAGCACTGACTTTGAGGTTCCGAGTCAGTAGGTCTGGGGAGATATCCAGGAATTGATATGTTTTCAAAGCTCCTCTAGTAATTCTGAGTACATGCCATGGCTGAGGAGCACTGTGCCGAACCTGCTTTATTCAGTACTTTCATCTGACCAGCATTCTTCCCAGGGAAATTGGGGTTTGACCCTCTGTCTGTAAGTTCCACTAAACTATAGCTGACCTGTGCCCAGAAGGAAAAGAAAACCACCCAAAAGGCGACATGGGTACTATGAGCTCCTGAGAGCCCAGAAGTCACGTGGGGCATGCCAACGGGAGTGCCAGCCCAGTGTGATGCCATAAACTCTCAGCCATATCCCCTGCATACACTGGGCTTCCTTCAGCCATCTGTCCTGTAGAAGGTTCTGGATGACAGGTGTGCTTTCCTTACTGCCTCAGACACAATGGCTAGTTTGGGCGCCTCTTACCCTGGGGACATATCATAATGGCAAAGAGTGCTTCTCAAGGAGAGAGAGCCTTGTAGGCAAACAAACCCACGTGCCCCCTAATATTCCAGGGCTTCCGCCAGCTGCTCTGCGGGTTCTGGGTACTGTGGCAGGTAAATGGTAGCAAGAGATGAGCCCCAACATTCTGCCTATTCAAGAAGGGTCTGGGCTGGGCGCGGTGGCTCACGCCTGTAATCCTAGCTCTCTGGGAGGCCGAGGTGGGCGGATTGCTCTATGTCAGGAGTTCGAAACCAGCCTGAGCAAGAGCGAGAACCCATCTCTACTATAAATAGACAGAAATTAATTGGCCAACTAAAAATATATATACAAAAAATTAGCCAGGCATGGTGGCGCGTGCCTGTAGTCCCAGCTATTCAGGAGGCTGAGGCAGGAGGATCGCTTGAGCCCAGGAGACTGAGGTTGCTGTGAGCTAGGCTGACGCCACGGTACTCACTCTAGCCTGGGCAACAAAGTGAGACTCTGTCTCAAAAAAAAAAGAAGGGTCCGCTCTCCCGCTGCTCTAGTCTGCACCCTTCTCACCACGGCCCCAAGAACATCTTGACAAGCCTGTGCTATCCCTGCATTCCTGATTGCCAGGAAGTCTCAAAAACTGTACACCCGACAGAGAAAAGTTTCCATTTCCTTTCCCTTTCTCTCTCTCCCTCTCTGAGGAAGGGCGATGGACTTTGCTACTGGCCAAGGAGTCTACATTGAGGTTGGAATGGGCTTCTTAGGTGGAATTTCCACATAACCAAGGAGACTAGATTCCACCCAGCTCTGCTATTTACTAGCTGTGTGGCCTTGGTCAAATCACTTAAACTCAATTGACCAGATCAGGCATAGCAAATACCTGTCACCTGCGCCACTGTCTTCCATTTCCTAGTCTGTGGCAGACATTGCTAATCAACCATGGCATGCCTGCCCACTGATCCCAGGCACTGCCTAAGAAGCCTTTCAGTCATGCACTCCAGGCAGCCACTGCCCACCCTGGGCTGACAGTCCAACTAAAGGCAATCTGCCATCCTGGGGCCTGAATTATCAACTGTGTTAGAGATGGCCGTCAACAAGTATGCAAACAAACAAACAAACAAACAATTAAGAAAACTGCAGGCTGAAAGAAGCTGGATGAAGTAAACAGGGGATGTGATAGCAAGTAACGGACTGGGAAGGCAGCCTTTCTGAGAAGATGACATTGAACTTGAGGCTGAAGCCCAACCTTGCAATTTTGACAACAGGTTTCTCTTGAGCAACAGGTGAATAGAAGCACCATTCCTGAGATGGGAAGACTGCATGTGGTGGCCCAAGCCCAGAGTTCCTCTCTAGACATGTTTAATCCATGATGTCTCATAAGTGGCCCAAGTGGAGATGCCAGTAGGGTGGTTAGGTATTGAAGTCTAAACTATCTAGGGAAGGGATTGGGCCAGAGGTCTAAGACTGAGCATCATCTGCATCTAGTCTTTGATGTAGAAGAAATCACTTGTAGGGTATAGGTGGAAAAGAGGGCCTGGCCCCAAGACCTGAATAACTTCAAAATGTAAAGATCAGGAAGAGGCAGAGTTCACAAAGAAAACCACAATGCATGGTGGAGAGTTAAGGAGAAAGCTAAGCAAGCCTAGCGTCAGAGGAACCAGGACCAAAGGTCTCAAACTCTTGGCCTCAGGTACCAGGTCAGCTGGTACTGGTCAGCTGTCTGGAGCATTGCTGAGAGGCAGCATGAGCAGGAGACAGAGAAGTATCAGGTTTGGCGACTCAGAGGCACAGTTGCAGGGGTGTGGTCAGCAGTGAAGCCCCACTGGAGCAGGCTGGGGGTGACCAGCTCATCAAACTCAAATTCAACTTCAGGAGGATTAAGGACCTACACATGTGAGGCAGATTAGCAAAACATCTTCACAACAGCAGGCTTGGAAAATATTTTTTAAATGACATAAAAGCACGACCATAAAGGAAAAAATTAATAATTCAATTTATTAGAATCACTGACTTCTGTTCATTAAAAAGATTCCAAGGCTGGGCGCGGTGGCTCACACCTGTAATCCTAGCACTCTGGGAGGCCGAGGCGGGCGGATTGCTCGAGGTCAGGAGTTTGAAACCAGCCTGAGCAAGAGTGAGACCCCGTCTCTACTATAAATAGAAAGAAATTAATTGGCCAACTAATATATATAGAAAAAACTAGCTGGGCATGGTGGTGCATGCCTGTAGTCCCAGCTACTTGGGAGGCTCAGGCAGCAGGATTGCTTGAGCCCAGGAGTTTGAGGTTGCTGTGAGCTAGGCTGATGCCACGGCACTCACTCTAGCCTAGGCAACAAAGCGAGACTCTGTCTCTAAATAAATAAATAAATAAATAAATGATTCCATAAAGAGAAAGTGGCTACAAATAGGAAGATTTTTATAATACTAACAATTAATTTCTACAACCAGTAGAAAAAATAAGGTAAAAAAAAAAAATAGCCAGGTGTGGTGGCTCATGCCTCTGATCCCAGTGATTTGGGAGGCTAAGGCCAAAGGATCACTTGAGGCCAAGAGTTTGAGACCAGCCCGAGCAACATAGCAAGACCCCATCTCTAAAAAAACATTAAAAAAAAAAATTAGCTAGGCATGGTGGTAGACACCTGACGTCCCAACTATTCAGGAGGCTGAGGCAGGAGGATCACTTGAGCCCAGGTGACAAAGCAAGGCCCCATCTCTAAAAACAAATAAATAAATAATAGGGAAAAGGCTTGGACAACACCTCAACTTAGAAAAGGAATCCTAAATAGCTAAACACATGAAATATGCTTATATCATAGTCTAGAAAACACATACTAAAGCAATCAGAGGATACCAGTTTATACACAACTAGCAAAAATTAGAAGCGTTGGTGAGAATATGGAGCAACCATGTCATAAGGCTAAAGATTCCATAGACCTGGTGCTTCCACTCCCAGGCCCCTAAGGCCTTGCACCTATGCAGCCAGGAAAACACACACAGCGTGTGTAATAACAAACCTGGAAGCCCCAGTGCCAATCCATGGTGGACAGGATGAACAAGCTCTCTTAAAGTCACGCATTGACAGTGTATAGCAGGAGTTACCCAACTACGGTCTGTGGGCCAAATCCAGCCCTCTGCCTGTTGTATCAGAACACAACCTGTTTGTTTGTGACATATTGTGTGTCCTTACAACAGCAGAGTTGGGTACTTATGATAGGGACCTTATAAGCCCACAAAGCATAAGTCATTTACTGACTTCTGCTAGACAGAAATGAAAAGGAATTAATTCCAGCACTGTGCAACAAGAAGCGTCCATCTCAGAAGTATTGACTAGAAAACAAACATGAAGAGGCAGAAAAATATATAATTTCTTCTAAAACTAAAAAACAGGAAGTCATCAGAGATACAAATAAGTGGTAAAACTATTAAAAAAGGCAAAGGAAAAACAAAGCGAAATCCAGGATAGTGGTTGCCTCTGAGGTGGGGAAGAGGGAATGAAAACAAGGAAATGTGCAGGGGGAACCTCCAAGGTAAAGGTAATTTTGTCTCATCCTGGGTGGAAGGTGTCATTATTCTTCAAGCTGGACATGTTTTTGACAAACAACAAAGACTGTCCTCAAAAATATATTATTCCCTTCTTCCATACCAACAGAGTTTTAGCTTGGTACATGGTATCCCAGGAAACGGCTACAATTCCCAGACTCCTTTGCAGAGAGGTGTGGCCATGTGACTGGGTTCTGCCAATGGGCTGTGAATGGAAGAACACAGGCATGCTACTTCGGGTCCTGACCTTCAAATGATCTAGCATAGACTGTTCCTCCTAGTGGATGTCTGTGAGATGGAAAGAATTGAGGGTCCACAATGAAAGCCACATGCTGAGATGGCAGAGCTGCCAACCAGCCCTGGACTGACCATCTGTAACCTTCAGAGTGCTACATGTTACATGAGAAATGAGAGGGAACTAAACTGCTATCCTGCTTAAGCTTCCGGGTTGTTTTTGGTTTTGTTTGTTTGTTTCTTTGTTTTTTCCTAAGTTACTTTGTGGTTACTTTGTTTTTCCTAAGTTACTCTTTTTTTTTTTTTTTTTGAGACAGGGTCTGGCTGTGCTCAGGCAGTGTTCAGGCTGGTGTCGAACCCCTGAAGCAGCAGCTATCCGCCCGTCTCGGCCTCCCAGAAAGCTAGGACGACAGGCGTGAGCCACCGCGCCCGGCCTTTTTTTTTTTTTTGAGAAAGGAAAGGGAGTCTCTTTGTTATAGTCTCTTCATTTTTATAACATGATGAGGAATATCTATCTCAAACCCACAATCAACATCAGCCTTCATGGTAAAACTCTACGGGCTTTCCCTGAAGACTGGGAGCAAGACGACAATGGCACGATTATCACTCCCATTTTACAGAGGAGGAAAGGGAGGCTTACAGAGCCTTCCGTAACTTGCCCAAGGAACTGACAAGTGGCGAGTCCGAGGTTTTATGGGTTCTACGTGACCACTGACTCTGTTATCCAATGCGTGGAAACACCAAGGGCTCCCAGTAAGTGGTAATAACCGTTCAGCACAGACAAGACCATGTCCTCATCTTCATTTGATCAACACTTCCCCACCAGCGGTCACTGTGGCTGAGTGGCCCAGAGCTTTAGGGCACACGAGAGGATCTTGTGAGCTGTCAGGTATGTGTGGAGTGGGGAGGGGCTGTGTAGAATGGAAAGTGTTTCGGGGGGGATACGAACATACACTGGAGTGCTCAGGTTGTAGTTCAATACTATTCTCTGAAGTAATTGAGAGCTGCTTTTTTTTCTCCCCAAAACACTAATATATTTTGGAAAAGAAAAAGAATTTTTAAAGGCAAGCCATCTCTCATTCCCTTTCTTCATTCACAGGGCCAGAAAAGTGGTATTTCTGGCATGGGCTAGAGGCAGAATACTCTATAAATACAAAGCCATTAAATCCCATGCAGCGGGAACCTGATCAGGGCCTCCTTTTAATTTCCTGACATGAGCTGGCCACTAACCCAATTACCCAGAATCCCCGGAGGAGCCCTCCGCCTTCCCAACAAGCACAAAGAGAGAGCGGGAGCATATTGCATGGATGTCAGCCCAGCTTTCACTGAAATCAAATATCTTTTAGAAAACACTTGGGGAAAGGCAGGCAGGGGCTGATGGGGAGGAAACAGAGTGGGTCTGGGAGGCCGGTGGCTTGAGGGAGGTGAAGTGAGGTGAGGAGAAGGTGAAGTCTGCAGGGATGAATTGCAATCCCGGAGCGGTACCGTAGACTTGGGGAGCATCCTAAGAAAGGCAACCAATGACTTTCCAGGGTTCTTCTCAATGAGGGGCCGAGTTAGTCCACAGCCCAGCCTGTCTCATCCTGATCCTAGAACCCAGAGTGGGGACCAGCCCAAGACAATGCCACCCTCTACGATTCCCAGCAGCGAATCCAGGAAGAAAATCAGGGCGGCTGGACACCAGCTTGCCTCACCAAACGCAAGGGGCACACTGCTGAAAAGCTGAGTGTAAATGAAACCCATTTTCAACCAAACACTACAGTATTTTAATGCACCCAGGGAGCTGATATCTCTAAGTCATCCCACGGTGGATTTTGCCATGGAGTTGTCCCCTCTGGTCCCCACCTGGACCGGGGTGAGCCAGAGGAGGCCACCGGTCTGACCTCTTCCCTGGCAGCTGCTGGTCCCCCAAACCATGACTGTTTCGCTTAAGAAAGGAGAGCTGCTGAGTGGAGGAGGGGAAGCGGTTCTGCTGTGTAGGTGGTGGCAGGCACAGGGCAGAGGCATTCACGTCTCCTTCCCCAGCCTTGCCCCTGCTGTCAGACTCAGGGCCCACGCCCCAGCCCCCCACTACCCCAATGCCAGGGGCCCGGTGTGGGATTGAAAGCAGGGGAGAAGTTCTGGGAAGGGTGAGGTCTGCCTTTCAGAGTCAAGTTGGAGTCTGAGGAAGACAGAGGGGGGCCTGGGGCCTGCGTGTGGAGCCAGGAGGGACAAGGGAACAAAAGCGGGAGCCGGGCGCTGCCAAGAGCCCCCGCCTGGCAGGGACCCAGGCTCCTGACTGAGGCGCGCTCCTCCTAAGAGGGCCGGTCCCCGCGGAGCTTCAGATCCCAGGATCTCACCAGGGCTCTGCGGGGACAGAAACTGAAGGAGGCTCTCTGCTTTGTCCACACTTGGGAGCCTTTGTGTCGTCTTTCCCCTTTGGATTTAGACCTGCCAGCACCGGCGGGGCGCGGGGAGGGAGTGTTCTGGTGAGTGTGTCTTCCTCCTTCGGGCAGAGCTCCTTAAAGGGCCTTTTTGGGCTCAGGGTGTCTGCCCAGATCCCGCCAACAGCCTGGGACACCCCAGCGGCCATCAGCCACAGGGCTATTTACAGCATGGGGGAATGTCTGCACGGGGCTCACCCCGCACGCCCTCCCCACATGAGGCAGCACCAGCCTTGGGCCACGTCCTCCCAGCACCCCGCACACCGTCATCCCGGGACAGACAGTGCCATCTCGCTTATCTTACAAGTGCCAGTCTGGATGTGAGAGCCCCCGCAGCCCATCAACTGGGCACTTGGCCACCCCCGCCCTGCCATCAGTGTGTCCCCCTCACCACCTCCCCCTTCCAGGGGGGGCACTAGAAAGTACCCCCGTCTGTTGCCAGCACTGGGTGGCCCTACGAGGCTCTGCTCAGCACTGCAAGAAGGTCCAGGGATGGAATGGTGGTCCCCTCTCCACACCCCCACCCTTGACCTATGCCCTGGGGCAACACAGCACTGAGCAGGGAGGCTGCAGGCCCTGGGCCAGCTCCTCTCAAACGAGCAGGTGCCTGAGGGTGGGAGCCTCATCTCACCGCAACCCCTGCAGGGCTCAGTTCTGTCATCCCTAAGATTCTGGGGTATACTGACAACAAGAAGAAGCTTCCTGTTGCTCTAAGTTCCACAGATGCCGTAAGGTAAGCAAAGACAGGCTACACACTCCACCCGGGAGAGTTGCTGGGCAGCTGGCCCCCCTCTGACCTGGTGTCCTCACACCCAGAAGAAAGTGGCAGCTCCATCTCTGGGACTTAAGAGGAATGAGTCTCTCCAAGGCTAGAAACCCTAAGGTTCCCACAACCACATGGAGAGGGAAGTCATGAGTCCAGTGCTAAGGCATGCTTCTACGGGCCTCTGTGCCTCAGTTCCCCTCTGTGAATGCCAGGAGGCTCTGAAACAGCAGGAAGAGGCTGGTGGAGGCAGGGGCAAGACCAAACTGTACAGTCAAAATGAACACAAACCAAAGCCCATAGACAGTCTCTTGGCAGGTCCAATACAGCCCGTTCTTTTTTTTTGAGACAGAGTCTCACTCTGTTGCCTGGGCTAGAGCGCCATGGCGTCAGCCTCGCTCACAGCAACCTCCAACTCCTGGGCTCAAGCGATCCTCCTGCCTCAGCCTCCCCAAGTAGCTGGGACTACAGGCATGTACCACCCATGCCTGGCTAATTTTTTCTATATATTTTTAGTTGCCCAGCTAATTTCTTTCTATTTTTAAGTAGAGACAGGGCCTCACTCTTGCTCAGGCTGGTCTCAAACTCCTAACCTCGAGCAATCCGCCTGCCTCGGCCTCCCAGAGTGCTAGGATTACAGGCGTGAGCCACCACGCCCGGCCTAATACAGTCCATTCGTAGTCTGGAAAGAGGGCTCCTTCTTCAGCTGAGACCCCAACGAAGCAGCTGACGTATGTCTAACAGCTGAGGGGTCCTCCCCATCACAAAGGGGTTAAATGAAGTGATCAATGAGAAATGCATTATGAGAAATGAGAAATAAGAAAGGCCAAAGCGCTACAGAGACACAAGCAGCCCTCAGGGCTGGCTCCGAGAGCTCCTGTTTTATGGGGACAGACGCTGGGCTGAGCTGAGTGGGGGGTACCTGGATTGGAAAATGGAAGTGGGGGCTCCAATTTCCACACCACACCAAGGTCCAAGTTGTTGTTTGGCCTGCCCCTCCCTGTTCCCTGGCCTCCCTCCTGATCACCCTGCACCCTCCTTTTCCTGCCTCCTCCTGCTTCTAGAAGGATCTTGGGATCAGAAACTTAAAAGCTGATCTATAAGAACTTCCACTGGCTTCCCTGGACGCTGGAGAAGGGAGGGACACACACACACATGCACACACATGGACACATACACACGACCCACCCCCCAAATGGTACTGAACGGGGTTCCTCAAACTGAGCAGATTGGTAGGGAAAATGAGGCAGGAGGAGACCCGGAGCAGCCGCCACGTGTCATTTTCAGTTTTCTAGGAGCCACATTAAAGAAGGTAAAAGGTAACATGCGATGTTAATTTCACAATGTTTTCTTGAACCTGACATATCCAGAATAGTATCGTTTCTGCATGTAATCAAGTTATAAAGATGATCACTACCAGATTTTATACTGTTTTTTATGGTCCCTGCAGTCCTCTAAACCTGGCGTGCCTGTCCCACTCAGAGCGCATCTCAGCCGGGACCAGCACTCAGGAGCCACGTGCTGCTTGTGGCTGCCATGCCAGACCGTGTGGCTCTGGGGGCAGAGGCCACGGGGGAGAAAGGAGAGGGAAGAGAGGATGACAGAGGGCGCAAGGAAGGCCAGAGCCGTGCCCTGTCCACCGCTGGACAACAAAGGCCGATCTTCACAGGTGAGAGGAACATGATTTACCATTCTGGGCCTTAATGTCTCTGCCCTTTTCGGCCTCAAAGCCTCGAGGCCTCTCAAGCCTGCCCCTCCCAGGGTGGAGAGGGGGCTTCCCCCAAAGGAGGGCCTTCCCCCAAAGGAGGGCCTTCCCCCAAAGGAGGGCCTTCCCCCAAAGGAGGGCCTTCGCACAGTGCCCAGCAGTCTAGGGCCCAGGTGGGGCCAGCAGTCCCAGAGGACCCTCACTGGAGAACGTCCAACTCCCGCCTCCCTAAAGGAGCGCTAAGGCGGGCGGGCGGCCGGCAGGGTGTGGGGGAGACGGCCCCTGGCTGGGCCTATCCAGGGACACAGTGCATGTGCGTTGCTCTGGGGAGGCTCCATGGCTTGGGGTATCTCACAGGGGCCTCTTACCTTCCTTCAGCATCCCCACTTTGAGGCATTTCATGAAGCGACAGGCCTGGCAGGACTTGCGCCTCCGCTTGGTGATCTCGCACTCGTTGGTGGCTGGGCAGCTGTACTCGATGTTCCCTGCAACCAGACACAGAGAGCGTTGCCAGGCGCCACCACCCACGGCCCGGTGAAAGGCTGGATGGGGATTAATAAGCCGGACCCGCAGCTCCCCCACCCTGAGGATCCCCCAGGGAAGGGTTCTCAAAGTAGGTGCTCCGAGGCGCTTATCAGCATGCTTCGCGTCAAACTCTCTTCCACGCGGAAGTCAGGGTGGGCCAGGCGGCCGCTCAGAGAAACACTCTCCAGAGAATGGCCCCCCACCGTTTTGAAGCCACCGCTTAGATGGGATGTCAAAACTCATGAGCCAGCATTTTAGCCCAGGAGAAGAACGCCCCTGTACGGACCAGACATCAGCACAGACCACCACCACTCTGGCCTCCAGCCCGGGCCCCTGACACACGGAAAGAGCCTCTTGGAACTCCGAGCCCACGGGCATCAGGCCTCGGTTCTGCATCCACGGGGAGGTGCAGGCCACCCAGCTTTGCTGACCTGGAGGACATCACTTTCCTCTCAACCACGTTGAAATGTCCTCCTCTGCAAAACAGCGTGCTATCTACACAGCGAAGGATTAAGCAAGGCCACCTATGGAACATGGCTTTAGCATCTGTAAAGCTCTATTCGACGCGAGGTGGTCATTTTATAAGCATAGTTCATACGGCAGAGGGAATGTGGGATTAATTTTCCAGGTCACTCCTTAAACGGGTTATAATGATGGCTACCGTGAACCTGACCTCACGCTCCTGGGAGCTGTCGGGGAGCCCACGAGGGCAGGACTCTAGCAGCACAGAGGTGAGAGGAACGCGGCCAGGGACTCGTCTACTCAGTCCTTCCCAGGGGCAATCCAGGAAGAAGGTACTAATGCTAACCCCATTTTACAGGTGAGAAACCTGAGCTTTCCAAGTGTTTCTGTGCAGTGTGGATGTAGGGTCTTCTTTAGGCTGAGCCGAACTTCCCGTGCTCTGGGGAAGCCACTGTCTCTTTTCAGGGTCTCTTCCTGGGAGGCTTCAGTCTGGTCGGGAGAGGCCATGGCTGCCTCTCTACCCTCTGTTCTCTGTCCTGTCCACACTGATTTAACAAATATGCACTGAACACCTATCACCTGTCAACATTATGCAGAGTGCTGGGGGTTGGGAGTAGAGGAAATCAGGACACTGAGCCTGGAAAGAGAGGGAGGGGTGGGGGCCAAGTTCTACCTCCTCCCTCCCTCCTCCTCCTCTCCTTCCTTCCTTCCTTCTTTCTTTCTTTCTTTTTTTGAGACAGTCTCACTTTGTTGCCTGGGCTAGAGTGCCATGGAGTCAGCCTAGCTCACAGCAACCTCAAACTCCTGGGCTCAAGCTATCCTCCTGCCTCAGCCTCCCGAGTAGCTGGGACTACAGGCATGCACCACCACGCCCGGCTAATTGCCTGGTGGTGGAAAGAAAGGTGGGGGGAGGGGCAGAGGACAATCGAAAGCTACACATGGAAGCCAGCATGCCACAGTGCTCTTTGGTCATTGTGTCTCTTCCACTCCTGTCCCAAAGTCAGGGAGGTCTGCTGAGCTGGTGGTTTTCAGAGAACAGGATCTCTGATCTAGAACATATCTCTTGTTCCTGCCCCGCCCCCAGACATCGACCTCCCGAGGGTACAGGGAGAAGTTTGAGGCCTACCTGTCCTCTGAATCCTGCACAAGACACCCCATTCCCGTTATAGCCATGACAGCTGAGATGTATTGTGCACCTCCTGTATGCACAACCTGCAGCAGCTCCCTCGGTCCTCACAACGACCCTCGGAGGTAGGCACGTCACTGGCCCATTTCACAGACTAAGAAACTGAGACTTGGGGAGCAGAATCGAGTTACCCAATGCCACACAGAGCCACGCTTGCATCTCACAAGGAGCTTGGGGAGATTGGAAGTGCCGCCCCCCAAGGAAGGCCCCTGCCGCTAACCCAGCAGTGGAGGGAGTCTGGTGGCCATCAGGGGAGGACAGCGTCCTTGGGCTTCCCTGTGCTGCAGCCTGCCCATGGGGATTTTCTGGGGACGGGTATGAACTATGCCCCACCACTAACAGAGCGCTTCCCAGTAGCGAGATCACTCAACAGGCTTCATTGTCCCGAGCGCCCACGACAGCGCATGAGCGTTCTTGTCCCCAGTTTAACTGGCGAGGAAATGGATTTCCCCAGAGCACCTTGGAGATCTGCAGGGAGGGAAGGCTATTCTCTCTCTCAAGTCCACGGTGCCACCTTCCCTCTGTCCCACCTCCTACAGCGAGGGGCTGGGGATGGGAGGGGGTGGAGAATGGGAGGTGATGAGAAGGGGAAGGGGTGAAGATTCTGGGCCCTCCCCCTCTTGTATCTAACTCTAACCATTTCTTTTTTTTTTTTTTTTTGAGACAGAGTCTCGCTTTGTTGCCCAGGCTAGAGTGAGTGCCGTGGCATCAGCCTAGCTCACAGCAACCTCAAACTCCTGGGCTCAAGCAATCCTCCTGCCTCAGCCCCCCGAGTAGCTGGGACTACAGTCATGCGCCACCATGCCCGGCTAATTTTTTCTATATATATTTTTAGTTGGTCAATTAATGTCTTTCTATTTTTAATAGAGACGGGGTCTCACTCAGGCTGATTTCGAACTCATGACCTCGAGCAGTCCGCCCGCCTCGGCCTTCCAGAGTGCTAGGATTACAGGCATGAGCCACTGCGCCCAGCCCTCTAACCATTTCTTAGAGCACTTTAGCTTGTGTGGCTTCTCAAGAACTAGATTCAATATTCACAAGCATGATAAAATTAAGAAGATAAACAGAAAAGAAGAAGACACATTTATAAACTAATGCATCCAAGTCTGTATCTTGGCTTAAAGGGCTGGGTAGAATTTGGTCCCCACCCCTCCCCCTCTCTTCCCACCCTCAGTGTCCTGATTTCCTCCACTCCTTGTCACTCTGCATAATTATCAGTTCCTGGAACTCCATCCTCTCCTAGACCTCCAGCCCTTCGCTCCTGCAGCTGTGGACAAGCCCACCACACTCCCTCCACCCCTGGCCCGCCCACCTCTCCAGGTCCCCCTGCAGGAGACACTCCTTCTCTGTGCTGACAATCCACTGTCGTCCCTGCCGGTGTCATACCTGTCTGCCTCCCCCACCTAGACGGGCTCCGCTCTGCTGCCCATGTGCCTGGGACCCCGTAGGTGCTGGCCCCACGCCGAGTGAACACCGGCAAGGCTTGTTATGGAGCAGCTACTGTGCTGCTTTACGTCTGCTGATGCTTTAATTTTCCCAGCCACCCTGGAGGTAAATATATTTCTCTCTATTTTACAGATGAGAAAGGTGAGCAGAGTCCAGGGTGGGGTTGAGCGAGGACTGGAACCCAGGTGGCCAGCTCCGGTCTGCCCTGAGCTGCCGCGCAGGGAGCTCGTGCTGCCTGGGGACGCCCCCTGCCCTCTGTCCACTGTCCCCGCGCTCTGCTCTCAGCTGCGCGGCCGGCCTGCCAGCCTTTGAGAGAGGACGGGCCACCGGCCGTTGCCTGACCGCCCACAGCAGGTCAAGGAGGGCGTGTGGGCCTGGTACCCGTGCTGTCCCTGGACGAGAGGGTTGAGTGCTGACAGCGAGTCCCTGGCACAGTTCTCGACGCTTTGGAGGGCTGTGTGTATGTGTATGAGAGAATGAGCTAGAGAGAATGAGAGAGAGAGAGACAGAGAGAGTTCTAATTTTTTATTTATTTATTTTTGTTCCTTTCAATTTGTTTTATGGCCCCAGCGGCCGGCTGCCAGGAAAGCCAGGCCCGTTGGCCTTGCTCTGTAATTTTTGTAAGTGCCTCCTGGAGAAAGTGATGAGATTAATTCATCAGAATTCCTGTGGTCTCTCTCTTTCTTTCTTTTTTTTTTTGGAAACAGAGTCTCACTCTGCTGCCTAGGCTAGAGTGCCGTGGGCATCAGCCTAGCTCACAACAACCTCAAACTCCTGGGCTCAAGCAATCCTCCTGCCTCAGCCTCCCAAGTAGCTGGGACTACAGGCATGCGCCACCATGCCCGGCTGATTTTTTCTATACATATTTTTAGTTGGCCAATTAATTTGTTTCTATTTATAGTAGAGACGGGGTCTCGCTCATGCTCAGGCTGGTTTTGAACTCCCGACCTTGAGCGATCCTCCCTCCTTGGCCTCCCAGAGTGCTAGGATTACAGGCGTGAGCCACTGCGCCCGGCCTCCTGTGGTCTCTTGAGGAAGGGAGAGGACATTGGTGGCAAACATGCGTGCACACCCCCACTACCACTAGCTGAGGTGTGGCAGGTTTGGGGCTTGAGTTCTCACAGAACAGGGACATAGCCAGTGGCTAGCATATATTCAGGATTCTAACCCAGGAGTCTGTCCAGTCTAGACTTGTACAGACTCCACTTCGAATATGTCACCTAACTTCTCTGAGCCTCAGTTTCCTGATCTATAAAATGGGTACAGTCCCCATCTCATGAAGTTATACAGATTCAGAGGCAGAATGCATGTAAAGAACTTAGTGAAGCGCACGCACTTGCCATTCCTATGTTTATATGCAGGCAGGTTTGCCAGGGTAGGTACAGCCAGAAGACTGCAGGATAGGTCTTTTCTAGGTGTCAGACCTGAGGTTAGCCACTCATTCTGACATTTAAGAACATTAGGATCTGCCTCCTATAGCCAGACCTCAAAGCGGATGCTGCTTGTACCTGTGACAAGGAGGCAGGAGCACCCAAAACCTGACCGGGATTTCTACGTGACCCTAAGATGGAGGGATAATTGCCACCACCAACTCTCTTTGATCCTGGGCTGCCCCAGGAGTAGGAAATCCCGGGGCATCCCCATCAGCTGTCCACGAACAGCTGCAGGGAGTGGGCAGCCCTGCCCCGGGCTCAGGGATGGGGGTGGCTAAGCTTAGATAAACGGCTCTTGGGGACGTGTGGGCTCAGAGGCCGCTGGCTAACGTCAGGGCCTGAGTGGCCACGTTTCTACATGGCTGGCGTGAAAGGACCGGGCTGGCAGTCACTTGGTTTGCTCCTGGAGGACAGAGGCCCTCCCTGTCATCTCTGCGCTGCCCAGCGCCCTCTGTCCCCACCTGTTCCTCCTCCTTACCCGCTAGATGGCTGACCTCACTCACGCCTGTGGCTGCCACGATCACGATCATGCGCTTGGCAATGGCGCACCGCCGGCCCCACTGTGCGTGCTCCACGCCCTTATATCCATCGCCGGCCGGATGTGTCCGGGGGGTCCTCTGGGCTCCTCACTTTTTCTCAAACTGAACCTGTCCTCCCCCAGCCTGTTCCTCTGACTCTATTTCCTGTCTCATCACGGGGGTGACTGGCCACCTGCACGCAAGTCAGAAAGCAAGGGGCCTCCTGGGTTCTGCCCTCTCTGCTCCTAAGATCCTTTTCTTCCTACTTCCTCCACAGCTCCGCCCTCTTTTCCTTCTGCCACAGCCCTGGTTCTCCCACTCATCACCCCTGGCCCCACCTGTCCCATGCAGCCTCCTGTCTCCACCTCCCTCTCCGATCTGTCCTCCACACTGCCCCCTGGAGGCAGATGGATAACGTCCCCAGGTCAATCCCCTCTATGGGACTCTAATTTATCATGGCACATTGAGCACACCTGTCTGCGTGTCTTCCCAAGGGCCCACTGCCCGGCAGCACAGGTGTGGGAACGGACTCTGAGAACAGAGGAAATAGAAGCCTAGGTAGCTAAAGCAGGGGGTCCCAGATAAGAAACAAGCAATTTGTGCTGTAGAACCTCAGGAAGCAGCAGGCACTGGAGACTGAAGATACAGCAGCACCAGAAGCTACAAGACAGAACAGCAATGGCGTCTGAATTCTGGGGGGAATTATTTCCAACTAGAATTCTGTTCCAAGCCAAGATCCGAATCTAAGGCAAGGGCTGAAGGAGGGAATGAAGACATTTCCACAGACACAAGGTATCAACAATTTTACCTCCCTTGCACCTTTCAAGCAAGCCCATGGAGTATGTGTTCCCCCAATAAGGAGTGAACCAAAAAATAGGAAGAGGTAGGATCCAGAGAACAGGGAATCTAACCCAGGAGAAAAGTGTTAAAGGGAATCAGCAACAGGCAAATAGATTTAACCAAAAATTATGATAGAACCATATTGAGGCAGTTGAAAGATTGTGTGTGTTGGGATGAGTTATGTAATTGGAGCTAACTTCCATAACAGAAAGTCAAGAAATAATGTCAATATTGTCACTCTGTCCCTGAGCTGGAGTGCCATGGCATCAGCCTGGCCCCCAGCAACTCAAACTCCTGGGCTCAAGCTATCCTCCTGCCTCAGCCTCTCAAGTAGCTGGGACTACAGGTGGGCACCACACCTGGCTAAATTTTTCTCTTTTTAGTAGAGATGGGGTCTCACTCTTGCTCAGGGCTCAGGCTGGTCTCAAACTCCTGACCTCAAGCTATCCTCGGCCTCCCAAAGTGCTAGTATTACAGGTGTGAGCCACTGTGCCCAGCCTAGAAGAAAGATTTTTTTAAATGGTTAACTATGGATTGGAGTGAAGTGATACTAGGTAGGGCCAGCAACTGTTATCTCTCATTATAAAATGTACATTTCTATTATACTCTTCAAGCTATATGCACGAGTTATTTTGATAAGAGTTAGAAATTAATTTAAAATGTAAATGTAAGAAATTCTCCACCCTCCACCGTGCAGAGAATGCAATCTATACTCCAGGGCAAAGCCTACCAGGCCCTTTATGATTTGACCATAACCTCCCCCCAGCTGCGGCCCCCAGTTTGCAGGCTCTGGCAAGCCTGAACTCCCGGTGAGTTTGTGATCCCAGGGAGCCCTGCGGCCTCTCATACCTCCCTCGATCTGAAGCTCCTCAATTCCTCCTCCTGGGAACTCCTCCACATCCCTGGAGCCTCAGCTCTCATGTGGCCTTCTCAGTGACATCTTCCCTTCTGTCCCAGGTAGGCTACATGCTCCTTCCCAACACCCATCCCCCACACTTGAAGCAACCAGCTAAGTGTTTCCTAACCAGGATTTTATGTGTTGTTCTCTCTTCTGAACTGTGTGCTTGTTGGGTATGGAGGTGGTTGCACTGGTCTTTCATTTTTGTCTCAAGTAGGAGCCTGGCATCTGATTAATATCTGTTGAATGGATAACGAATGCAAATGAATTGACAACAAGAACCCCCACCCAGATAATCCTAGAATTCCACAACAGTGACCTCCCAGGTTGCCAAATGCAATTGTCTCCTCTTGGTCCTTCCCTTCCTGATCCTCCCTAAAGCAGCAGACACCCATTGCCACCCTCTTCAAATGGGCTAATTTGTTAGATTTCGTCTCCCTTCTCTCTGTAGGGCCTCTCGCAACATCCTTGACCATTTCCACGTGTGTTTCATCAG